CGGCTGCGCCTCGTAAAGAAAATTAGTTCTCGTTCACCAAAGTAGCATTTCGCTCACTAAATACAAAACTGATTCTAATCATAATTATTCCAATTCACCTCATAACGTCAATGCGTTGAAACAGACAGTTTTCAATGAAATTACGTTTTCTGTTTTCAGCTATCATTTACGGAATTATATACTAGACAGCAATTATCATGTTTTGTATCAAAATTGAATTGACACAACTGATTCATCATTTTGGTAATTAAGTACTCTAAGTATCAATAATATACCTACCGCTTTGATTCAGATAAAATGAGACAGGTATTTCTACATACTGTGCAAATTATATTTGCATAATAGACAACACAGGTGATTAAGTACTCTAAGTATCAATAATATACCTACCGCTTTGATTCAGATAAAATGAGACAGGTATTTCTACATACTGTGCAAATTATATTTGCATGATAGACAACACAGGTGATACACGAAATCGGATTCATTTTAAAATATTACCGAAGGATATGACATTTTCATTTTTCTTTATGACATCCATTACATGAGTATTCCTATTGTAGGCGATTCTGTACGTAATTACTGTAATTTGTAACATATTACAAGTTGATCAATCGGAATGATTCAACGGACAGAAACCAATTGCTTAACATAAATCTTTTTCACCGGCATAGAGAAAGTAGAGTTTTATCTGAATTTTCTGGTGGTATCCAGCGTGATGAATTGTGAACTAAATGAACTAGTGAGGTCATTTTATATTTTTTAAAGCAGAGCGAATATCTCAACTAACCTATCCTGTGGCTGATTGCCCTGATATTTATCAGGTTAGTTCAGGTATCAATTATATTTATTTTATGAAACTATTTCCAAATTCACTAGATAATGAGCTAGAGACAGAAATATCTCTGATATAGGATATCACCAGAAAACTCATTCAATGCTTAAATTTTGAACTTCCATATGGAATATTTTGATAAATAGTGGTTTGATTACGTTTGCATTATCAAGTTCGTGTTTTTTGGAACAAAATACCCATCTCATGAGTGCAAAATCATCTCATATCTGTCTTTCTTATTGTGAATGAATGCAAAAATGGCCAGTGAATCCATTTTTATGGTTTACTTATCTGAATCATTTGACTGAAACTAACCTTCAGTGCTAGTTGTTGAAGGCTTAGGTGAATCTGAGATTTTGCCAGAAATTAAGTGATGAAGACATACTGTAACCCCTGTGCTAATTGAAATGTGCCAAATTCAGTTATATAGGTTAAGTACGACAAATAATATTATTTAGTTATTATTACCACATTAAGTTCATGTATATAAGTGCCATTTTGTTCTTGTTATTTATGAATTAATTTATATATTTATTAATAATTGTCTTCCGAATACAATCATGCAATTTGTGTTATAGACCAGAACTTAGGATGTTCACTAATAACCGTAGAAAAAACAATGATAATTCAGATCAAGACTAGAAAAGAATTACATATATTTGTACTATATGTATTCATTTCAACGTCACTTTGTATATGGGACTGAAGTGACTCATTTAATCACACTATTTTTTTGCACCCGGGATAAGTATCACTGAAATTAGGTGATGTTACAATTTGATTTGTCAAGAATCAGATGGTTAATTTCTCAATTCACTTTGAAATAATGGAATAAGTTTCTTATCAACGGTTCACTTCAGTCTCTATCTAGTGCTAGTGAGTCATTTTGGGACCTGTTAGGAGTGAATGAAATAGGGCAATGATACTCCTAAATATGTTTGTTTATTCCCTAAGTTTCAATGGCCGACAATTTTTCCCAAAGAGAATTACACTTCAAACATGGCGTAGGAGTATTGAATGCTTTCAAATTTAGTCTGCTGGAGAACCAACTTCATACCTGAAGTGCAACTGGGGTTTCGTATCCGACCTTAAACTGAACGCAGTCCTACTACTACACCATGCTCCACATTGTGCAACGCGCCTCTCGCCATCATTTGCGTTAAATGTCATTTGTCATCGATCGATGACCATTGATATGATTGATGTCATTTCTCGTATTTTTCGCATTCTTTATTTTCTCTATCACATTCTCTTCTGAAATCTGATGGGATAGAAAAAGATTTCAGAAATAATGGCTGCCCATTTCATAGCTTTGAACATAAAAAGCACGCAAGAGGACTAAGAGGTAGAACCGATACCACACGAATGGGAAGAACCTGGTCATGGTATACTGGCCCCCTACAAAGGGGCAAATTGGTGATTGTTCCTGCATAACAAATTAAACTTCACAATCGCTCTGTCTTCATATGTAGGCTTGTACCTGTGAAATTTCTTCACGATATAATCTCTTTTTTTGCCTGATAGGAGCCAGTAGTGTATTTGAAGGTTCGTGTTATTTTCAATTTCGGAAGCTTTTCACCATAGCTCGAGTTAACATATCTCATGAATAAGAGACACCATACTATTCTGGTTCTGAGGATGTTTAGAACAACAGGCCTCAGCATTCAGCTATCCAGAAGAATTTAAGGAATTTTGACATTGACACTGACATCATTCATCATGTCATGTCATGTCCTGAAACAAGGTCAGTTGTGAACAAGTTGTGAAGATGTTCAGATTTAAATGTTTAAATAACTAAAGTTGTCACTTAACCATATTTGAAACTGAAACGTCATTTTGCCATTCCCAGAATACTTACTACTTTGTAGTTGGTAGGGTGAACGTTGTAACAACGTCATAGTTTAACTTGACTCATACTAAACATTGAGATGACGTTGTTCGGTGGTTCACAGGACGTCGTTAAATGAATGACTAATTTCAACACCCAGTACGTACAACGCTAGTTTTGGTGTATTATGTGGTTGTCGTCGCCAAATTGCTACTTGGGTAATCAATAAAAACGAATTCATTGAATCGAAAGGTTTGATGATTCGAAGTTCCAATTTATAATTCTTGAGGAAAAAGAGGAGATTCTTATGTAGTTAAGTCCAAATCCACGCTCGCAGGAGGGCTGCCTCAATTTACGGGTCAGTATCATCGTCTCATCAAATCATGATATAATTCTGCAAATTGAAAAAATGCTATATTGATAATATATAGTTCAATGACGATATTTGCTTCACCCTACCTCTGGATCAGATTTGTAGAAACATTTCTGCAGTTCGTATACTCTCTTCTCCAGGGGAGTCACCTCTAAAACAAAAAATGAGATATCAAATTAGCACATCCGCTGACTCCTGAATACGGGTATTTGAAATTTGACATGGATTAGCCATAGTAATCTGGATTGCTTTTTCAGCAGTTCCTTCAGATCATATACAGGGTGGTCAAAATGTTATTGTACAGGGTGTCCCACTCAATGGTTTCACTCCCCTTTATTATCATGATTTTAACATATTTTCGTTATTCAAAAATTTTTCACAATTCTTTCAAATCTAGGGAAATCTAGACTAGCGGAAACGTACTGAAGCTGAATCATGTTGCCATTCACATGCCCTATACCGGGTGTTTCTCAAAAGTGGCTCACCTCTTCAATTTTTTTGTTTCTACAGATAAACACATGACATTGGGTGTGTGAGTATAGTATATAAATATGCATTATTCGATTCATTCAATTGTTTTTGCCACTTCCGGTTTGACCGGATATGGTCTCTTCCTTTCTTATTTTGAATGGGATACTTGGCATATTTATACTTATTCCGATTAAGAATGACATTGTGAGTACAACTACACGACATTTGCAAATTCCAGACATGTAGGTATCATCTTAAAATTCTGTTTATCAATTTTCAATCCAGAGTGCCATGAATGAGTTAAAACAATTGATTCCGAACCAGTTGCCATGGAAAAATATTTTCGATGTAATTTTACTCTCCATTTGTTTCACAGGTTGTTTAAGAAGTCGTAATAATTATCATGTTGTTGACTCAATCAATTTTCAATAGAACAAGGGTGGTTCATGACAATATTTGAGAAGAGTATTTCGTTGCGAACACGTTGATACCACATGATCGATATTTTGAATCATAATATCATATTCACTCTAGATGGAAGATTCAAAAATGAAAATTTCAGAATGGTAGATGTCAAGAAGTGGCAAATGTGGTGTCATCGTACTCACAATGTCATTCTTCATCGAGATAAGTAAAAACATACCAAAAGTTTCGCATTTAAAATAAGAAAATAAGGGTCATTTCCGGCTAAACAGGAAGTGACAGAAAACAATTGAATACGTCTATCAAAGCATATTTGTGAACTGTACTAAAAAAGCGAATTGCATTTGTTATAGGGTTATAGAGGTAGTCATTATTGTGAAACACCCGGTATATGTAACGATTGGGCTAACAATCTGTATAGTTTGCTTCAAATTATGCATGGCCGGCCCAGTACTACATACGCTCTTCGCATACTCGTCAGAAAAAAAATAGCATTGTTCTTCCATTTATACAGAGTGGTCCAACGAAAACTTTAAACCCCGATTTCAGGGCTTCAGAATAAAAATATGGAAAAATGCTCAGACCCTGTGATTTCTGATTCGAACAGGTCTTCAATGGAATTAACAACATAAATGGTAAATGACGGGAGGGATAACCGCCTCGTTTGACAGATTTACAACGCGTGCAATAAACACTTCTTGCACTTGTTGTATAAATAACTATTGTTTTCTGCTGTTTTTAGTTCGTCTGTACATATGAAAGTGTGATTTTTAATTTTTTGAACCACTATATATTTTTAGAGACGTTCCGTAGTTAGTCGTGGACATTTTTTCCAAAGTTTACGGAGAGAAACTTAGTTTTCACGTTCGAGTAAATTGGGCCCTCAGATAGTGCTCACCCTTGACTGCTCCTAATATTCATTAATTCCAAATTTTTGTCTATGCACCGAACCCTTGAATTGAATTATTTCAGTGAACAGAATGGCGTTATTGTAGATGTAAACGGAAACTCACCTTCAACTTTCTCCCAACATCCTAGTACTATTTTCGGACCAGTTTCTTTTATCTGAGGAGGGCAAAGTTCCATCATGCGATCCCTGTTCAGAGTACCATCAGGTATAATCTGAAAATTAAAAATATTAATTCTGGTAAGAGTTTGTTGAATCTGATTCCATTGATAAATGTTTTCAAAATGAGAGAATTGGAGTGATAGCCACTTTTGGTAATATAAACTTCAAGGACTTTTTCTTGCTTTCGTACAGGATCAGATACAAGAGCAATAATTTTGAAATTGGCCTTTGTGAAATGAACATACCGTGTATGAGATATCATGCTCGGAATTTGTACAAGAGTAAGTATTATTCTTGAGATATGACCGAATCAAATAGGCTATTGATACAAAAAAAAAACGGGTTTTCAAAAAATGAATATATCAAATTTGATCACACGATGGAAGTACTACCAACATTTCGACATTTCAAGTTTTCGAAATGAGTTAGGTAGTTAGTGAGGTTTTCATTTTGATCGACATTAGTCAACGCATTCCAGATGACGAGAGTTTTGTTGTTTCGGATCGCACACATTATATATAGCGTTTCCATGAAAGGGAGTTTGTTTCTCCTCAGAAGACCCAACACGATGTGCTGAGACAATTTCTGAAATCATCATGTTGGGAGATGCAAACCTACATACAGAACACTGCAAGAATATCTTCTGGTAAGGCCTGGTTCAGTAGAAACTGCTGTAGAGCTGTCGCTTCCAAACAGGCAGCATTCCATCGATGACAGAGAAATTCAGGCCCTGAGACTAGAGTAGAATATGTCGAGGCTAGAGACATATGCAATGAGACAATGCGATAATCAAAGGCTGCTTATAATGCTAAAATAAGATCAAAACTTGTTGAATGTCTTAACGTTTTCTGTTCATTTTGGTCCTTCGCCGAAGCTATTGGAAGAAACTTTCAGCTCGTTTCCTAACCAAGGATGATGCTACACTAGCCACAACTGCCCAGGAGAAAGACAACATTTTTGCGCATTTATAGGTATGCTGGAAATTCCACTCTGGATTCATCAGGAAAACAACCTCCAAACATAACGCCAATTGACAGTCATATGCCCGAGATCATCTTCCGCCAACGTACTATAAGGAATATTTTATAGGGTCTCAACACCAACAAAGCTTGTGGCTCCGACGGAATCCCACCGATTGTCCACAAGGACTGTGCTCCTGAACTAACATCTGTTCTCTGCTCTTATTTATACAGCTATCAAAATCGAGCTCATGAAATACCTGGAGCACTCAGGTGTTATCAGCGATAGGCTATATGGCTTTCGTCATCAGAGATCAACTGGTGACCTGCTCGCTTACGTCTCACATATATGGCAGCAATCTATTGAAAAATATGGTGAAACCTTAGCCGTGGCACTTGATATCTCCAAGGCATTCGATCGAGTCTGGCACCACGGGCTCCTCGCCAAGCTTCCATCTTATGGCTTATTGTCTCCCCAGCTATGTTCTCTGCTGGGTAGTTTTCGTTCACACCGGCCTCTCCATGTAGTGGTCGACGGAGTTTCATCTCACTCTCTCATCATAAATGCTGGTGTTCCGCAAGGTTCAATCCTAGCACCAATACCATTTCTACCTGCCAGGCAAATCAGAAAAGAACGAGGGAGAAATGTTGACAACATAAATATGGACTTGGCAACAATAATTCTCGAAAGAGGATCCAATAACTTGGTAGATTTCAATGCAAACAAAACATAGGCATACCTTTTTCCCATAAAAGCCGATCTCACTGTATCCAATTTAAGCTTGTAAGGAGTAACCATACCTTTGAAGACATCCATTTCGATGCTAGGTATTTCTATCAGCAATAACCTTTCTTGAGAAAATCACATGAGATCAATTGCTAAGAGTGCATCCCGAAAACTTGGTTTTCTGTTCCGGGCCAGTAGCTATTCTACTTCCAGTCAGCTGCTTATGAGCTTTAAGGCACAGATCTGACCTGTACTGGAAAACTGTTTTCATATTTGGAGTGCAGCACCCAAACATACCCTGAAACTGTTGGATTCTGTCCAAAAATGGGGAATTCGTCTCGTGGGTGATACGGAACACCGTAGAAAAGTTGGCGATCTGGCTCTATATTTTCATGGACGATGCTCTTCTGAAATATCATTAATTGTTCTCCACTTGGCAGTCCTCGCGAGATTATCCCGTCGAGACCTGTAGAACATCTCTTCCCAAAGACTCGTTCATCCAACGAACAGCGAGGCTTTGGAACACATTGCCAAGGGAGGTGTTCCCCGAGGCATTCAACCTCTAGAAATTTAAGAAGAACACCAATTCCTATTTAATTTCCCTTGGTTCTCACGATGTTCTCGGAACATTACAGGATATCCCTTTTTGTGGGAACCAGAACATAAAAAAACAGGGTGAGTGTAGCTCCGCTATATAAAATTCAGGAAGACATATTCATGATGAACTGCCAATGCACTCCGATTGATATTTTTTCAGGCTTCATATCTAGGCATAATAAACAATCCGATTTTTCTCAATATTCAGTAGCCTGTGACACTGTGACAGGGACTTCAATACATGTTCGTGGAACCTATTGTGTTACTTATCGCATACCTAGGGATATTTATAGTGATAGGGTGAGAAGGTTTGTATTGGAATTGTCCTGGTACCACTTGCAGCATATCCCATTGGAGACCTCTTGTGGCGAGAAAATCGACAGGACAAGTGCATAATTGGTGGAAAATCGTCATTCCTTCGAATTTGACCTCCGAAACATGAATAATAGAAAATAAACATATTATAATACTACAAAATATTGAATATTATATCTGTTATGTTGAAAAATGCATCTTCAATTCACATAGATAACTATTTGGTCGGCAAAACAATCATTTCAAGCTTCTGATCTCGTCAAATCTTGATACATTCATTCATTGAATGATGAACAAGGCATGCATGGTTAGGCATGCTTTGGATGATGGTACGGAGGGGTTCTGGAAGCCGAGAATTTGTCTGAGATTCAAACTTTAGCATATATACATTGAATACCACTACAAAATTGTATAATACTATATTATATCGAATATAACCACTAAAAAATTGTATAGTACTATATTATATCGAATATTACCACTACAAAATAGTATGATACTCATAGTATAGTATGATATAATTTTGTTGTGGTATTATTCGATGAATGTAGTGACTGGTGCCTATTTTCCTAAACGTTTGGTATTTATAGTTTACCCAAAATTAATTGCAGAGTCAAGTGTCTCAACTGCAGTCACTTCAAAGGGAACTTCAAACACGCCGACGCCGCACAATGCGGGGTATTCTGCAATTGATATTGGATAAACTATACTACCGACTATCTCTGTGTGAGCTGCACCACCTGTGTATTCTCTTATTCGTCGACCGACTCCAATTTCTTTTTGCTCAATGCGATCTACTTTCTCAATTCTCTCATTTTACACGATCTACTATGATCGAATCAAAGTTTAAATAATCCACTATTGATATCACTCATTTTTTTAGCAAAAAACTAATATCATCAGCATGTTGAGAATATCTGTTACAATTTTCATGAGGATATCATATAGATACAATACGTTTTTTATAAGGATTTATTTATTTTCCGTGAAAAAAATCATTTCAATAAAAATAATCATAAAGGTACATGATTTTATTTAGGTGCTCTCAGAATAACTTTCAAATGTTTTTTTTGTACTTATCACACAAAGGTTGTTGTTTCGTAAAAGATATTATAATCATTTTTCACGTTCAGTTGAGAAGAAATTGTAGTGCATAATCCAATTGACAAATCTTTTTATATAGGTATCAAAAAATTAAAAATTTGTTAGTAATATCGTCATCTTTCGTTACTTTTCTGTGACATTAATCGAAATCAGAATGTTAAAATTTCTATACTCACAATTTGGGATTCCAGCCATATGCATGTGACATATTCCTATAAAAAAGAAATTTTTTTGAAATGCTTTATTCCACAGGACCTGCAGCGATAAATAAAATGGTATATTGTTGTATATGATTCAGAATTACGAAACAAATCACAAGAAACCTTTTTCAAAATCAATCGAGATCACAGTTCACAACTTTTATGTAATCGAATAACTCACTATTATTGCATGTCGGCTCACCAAGAGCAAAAATTTCGAAATTTTTGCTGTACGCAAATTTAAAAACTTAGGCGTATTTTGAATACGTGATATTTTTTCCTGATTATTATATATTATATTGTGTGGAAAACTGTGTGAGAATAAAATCTGTATCTCTATTAAACAAAAATATATTCAAAAAAGTCCTCGGACCCGTCGATTAATTTTGTTGGAAATCAGCTTTTTGACTGAAACATTTTTGACCACCTTCAACCTCCTATACCTCATAGATCAACCCCTCCAAAAATTCTTCATCAAGTTATAGAGGTATTCCAGACTGCTTACGGGACACTGTCGTCCAAGGTACCACCTGGGAAGGATGGGTCTGAACCAACAAACGGACTGTCGGTTCTGTTGTGTGGAAGACGAAACGGCTGAACACATATTATGTTCATGCTCTATCTAAGAAAGACTAAGGTTCGACACATTTGGCTTTACCAATTTAGAACCTATCGATTTCAGACAAATCCCATCCAATTCAACCATGAACTTTCTAAAAAGATGTGGATTTTTCAGTGAACTGTAACCTCTAGGGGAGAGCCACAATAGACCCATCTGGGGTCGCAGTGGAGGAGAGGTATTCGCCCCACTCACATGGAACCTAACCTAACCTAACCTGGGGGTATTCCAAATCTCTATACGACGGTCTTATTTTCTTAAATTCGGTCGAGGTATATCCGCAAGAGAACAGTTGAAAGATTGAAAATTTATTAAAATGTTTGTCTGCATTCATAGGACTTGCTAGGTGCTGTTCTGATGTATTACTTTAACAGCTAATTAACCTACATTTGAATTCAATATTTCGTACAGCATGTCTGTCTACGCTTATGTACAATGTCCATATGCGTAGATGTACATTTAGTACAATGAAACTACACTATTCAACTGAAATACTTAATCATTGACAAAGTATACAAGACATTCATTCAGAGTGTACAAGACATTTATTTATGTACAGATTTCATTATAATGCTAAGACGCAATTTCTACAAAATCGAACCTCTCAATTTGTCCATGATTTAATATATTTAAATTTTTGGCTCAGATTTGAATTCTGTCTTCATACTATTCATTTGTGATTTTAATTGGTATATGAATACTATTAATTTCAATGTAAGTTTCAGTTTGAAATTCCTTCAATATTTGAACAGATTTGAAAATATTCGGATGAGGTGCATACAGACTTTTAGTTGAATCAGAATGAAAGGATTCACAGCACTTTCTTGTTCTGTAACTACTAGCTTCAGCACGAGCACAAATTCAAGAAGGAAATTCAGAATCCTCGTCTTTAATTATCAACAAGATATTCAAAATAATTTCTCAATCTTACGTCATTCGTCAACATTTGATCTCCCACTATTTCTGGCTCTTAAAATGTCAAGCCAAGTGTCCAATGTGAAATACTCCCAATAAGTGATCCAAGATTGTCTTAGATGAAATCTGCATCCTATCATTCTTGTTTCTGGCTATATAAATCTTATGGGTAAATGAAAAGAGTTTTCAAAATCCGATAAAACTTCAACAGATTCAAAATTGATATCCTAGTCTTACACATTCTTGGTTCACGATTTCGAAACATTTGTTAGGGTAGGGGGTGCTCCGATAATGAGCAGCGACAGTATGTCATTGATAACCTGCTGAGTCTATAGATTAGGCTTATTTTTACCATAGGCGCAACTGGGTTATCATAAATTCCAGGCTCCTTTGAGACCCGGAATATAGGGTTATACCCGCTCAAACGAATTTGAAAGAGAATTGTACAAAGCTTTGAAATATATCTGCACGAAGGTGGTTGACAAATGCACTACAGCACTAGCAAATCAACCTACAGTATGTGATTTTTCTGGTAGGTTTTCCTTTCGTCTAGAAATGATTGTAGGTTGTAAGGGAATTCTGGATTATTCTTCCGTTTTTTTTTCTGTTATAAGCATCCTATACTATATTATATAACACTTGGGCTGAAGTGACCTTTCACGCATCATGCAACAAACACCCTTGTTTTCACTAGTTTCACAAATAACTATTTAACGGCTTCTTTTGACTTTATTGATTTTTATTGCCCCCCATTTGTTTTACTCGGTTGCGCCTCCTCAAAAAAATCAGTTCTCGATCTACGAAGTAGCATATTGCACACTTTTTTTTCGCTTGGAGTGCACGAAAGAGAATACCTTCAATGTTCTAGGACCATCGTGCATGACATTCATTATTCCTCAAAATTTATATAAAATTTGATATATATTATTGAAGAAATTACGGAGAATGAAGTTTGTTCTTAGTAAATTGCACTGGCCGCAATATTGAAATTGAAATAAACTCAAAAAGCAGATAATTATGGTTTTATAAAAATGATTTAGTTTAACTTGTTCATGTTATTGTAGAACAATTTCAAGAATCACTATTACATTTATGGTTTTTTAAATGACTCCTGAAGAAATTTTGAAATAAAAATTAATGTAAATCGATCGAAAAAATGTTGTTTGCTTTATGTGCAAAAATCATAATCGATATTAATTTGTTGCTTTCAGCAAAAAAAATCAATTATTTGATTTTGTTCTTTCATCTTCTATCATACTCACTCCATTTATCGCTTCAATTCATGGAAGATTTCAAATTCTCATATGTTACCAATATTTACCTTTGATTTGTCTTCTTCCTCAAAATTTCCTTCTCTCATGCTTGATATTGTAGCTTCGGGTATTCCTGTTTTTTTGACACAAGTATTGTGTAACACCGGTGCCAGTTTCGAAAGGTTCTCTCCAAGTTCCTGTAAAGGAAACGTTTTCTTTATAAATTGCCACTGCTTTGCTCTTATAGTTCTCATTAATTTTTGGGTTTCCTGATTTTCTCAATAGTCGGTACCAACCCAAATCAATTTCCAACGGATTCGCATTTCATAGTCCAATATCTACCTATTATCTAATCTGTAGAATAATTTCGAAATCTCAAAATAATATCTTGATATTGTGATCATATTTGTAAAAGGTAATCGATATTCGAGATCTGAAACGCATCAACAATGGCATTTTCAATGGTTTTAGACAAACATATCCTAAACCTGTGAGTGGCGAATGTGGTATTCTCACACGATATTTGCCTATATTCAAGGGGTCCGTGAAGAGAAGGAGGTCAATCCCTTAACAGTATACAGGATGAGGCAAAAGTATAGAAACAGGTGAACATATTATCTGTAACCGTTCTTTAGATTTTTTCCGAATGTATGTCTAGGTGATATCAAAACATGGCGGATATGATTACGTTATCGCCAATGTTGCCACTTTTTCAGTTATTCCGGAATTATTATTACCTATTTCTCATTTTGAATAGAATTTTCAGATTCTCTCTGAAAAGCTGATCTCATCGATCTATCATACTTGGAATCTATAGAAAATGATTACAGAGATATTAATAGGGTGTTTTAAACCGAGATTATTCAACTATACGATTTTTTTTGTTGAAATCATTCATTATTGGTTTAAACGGATCACATGTATGTCCTTAACTTTTGATTCGCGTTCTACTGACTTTTTTAATTGAAACAAATACAGGATGGTCCAAGATCCAGAATTCTGATCACCATGTATCTGTTCCAATTACATGTCAGTAGATAGTGAATCAAAAGTTAAGATCGATTCATTGAACCTGTTTCGAGCTATATATAATGAATAGTTTCGACATAAAAATATCCTAAAGTTGAATAAACTAGGTTTGACCACCCTATATCTCGGTAATCATTCCCGCTAGACCATATAAGTGTGATCGATCTATGAAATCAGCTTCTGAGGAAGAAATTCAATGAAATACAGGGTATTCTATTTAGAACGAGGAAGTTAAATATAATTCCGGAAGAACTGAAGAAGTTGCCGCACTCACTGAGATATTCACCTGTTTCCATACTCTTGCCCAAATATACGTCCTCAAGACGTGTATTCTTGGAACAAAAATAATATGACGTTCCTCAAGGCTATCTTTTTCTGAGACCAATGTTCGCCTTACTGGACGTCAGAGTTTGAAATTCAAATCAGTTTTTTTCAATAATTCGACTATTCAAAAAGATATCGATTTCAACTCGAATGCATGAATGAATAATAAGGGAGATTAATTGAGAATTTGAAATTATATTCGAATAGTCATTTACCGTAAGGATCCTTCAATTTCAAGCAGGACAATTGGAATGGTCTAATTCTTCTTAACTGAAACACAACGATCACCTTAGACCAATTATTGCATAAACCATAAAAAAAATATTATGATCCGAAAACATTAACAGTAGAAAACCGTCTAGTCATATCCACGAAGTATATTTTTCCAAATTAAGGGTCGGAGGAACATGCTTCCGGCATATACACTGTGTCCAAGATAAGGATGTCTATCATGGGGATCTCGGAAACCATAAGAGATACGAAGATGGTTAAATTAGAGAAAAGTTGCTCGTTTTCGAGCATAACATCATTCATCATTCAGCATTCAAAATGCCGAGTATTTCCGGAGATATGGCTGAAAAACCGAAATATGCCGATTTTGTTTTCATTTTTTTCTGACGTTATTCAAAGATTGCTAGGAAAACAAAAGACACTTTCTCATTGCCACTTTTTGAGATCTACAAAATAGCGTTGAGAGATTTTCCGTACAACGTTTCGTTTCGGAGAAACCATCATCAACTTTATTTTTTTATATGGCCCGTAAAAAAAGTATACCCTGTATCAAATAGCATATTTTATTACGAATACAACGATGTATGACACATAATGATTCTGCAATATTTGAATCAGGAAAAAATTGTTTTTATCATTATTTCGAACGTTTTGGTGTAGTAGGCGGTGAAATGACGGCGCTGAGAAAATGTCAAAACACTTTAATCGACATATTATTGACACAAAGTGTTTTTGAACTTTGTTCTTGCTAGAGAAGTTTCTATCGAACAGATTCCTGGGAAAATGGATAGGTACACATTCAACAGTTTCTGGGCCTCCTCGTTCGCCGGACATCACTCCGCTCGATTTTTTCTCTAGGGGTATTGCAAAAATTATGTTTACCGCCGTATTTTTTAACCTGATAAGTTGAGAAGGGTTTTTAATTCGTCAGTTAGAAGGTTTTATCTCCGTTTTTTGGATTTCTAGTGAGTAGTTCTTAACTAATTTGTTTAATTAATTAACATATGACGTGACCTACCTACGTATTTAAATGAAGTTTTTAAATCCACAATATTGTGATTTCAATACAATATTTTGAAACACGAGTAATAATAGCATACTACACCACACTCAGCGCCGTCATTTCACCGCCTACTACACCAAAACGTTCGAAATAACTATTTTTTTCTGTTTTTCTGATCAAAATATTGCAGAATTATTATGTGTCATACATCGTTGTATTCGTGAAAAAATATGCTATTTTATACAGGGTATACTTTTTTTAAGGGCCATATAAAAAAATAAAGTTGATGATGGTTTCTCCGAAACGAAACGTTGTACGGAAAATCTCTCAACGCTATTTTGTAGAGCTCAAAAAGTGGCAATGAGAAAGTGTCTTTTGTTTTCCTAGCGATCTTTAAATAACGTCAGAAAAAAATGAAAACAAAATCGGCATATTTTGGTTTTTCAGCCATATCTCCGGAAATACTCGGCATTTTGAAAATTTTCAAACATCATGATGTTATTCTCGAAAACGAGCAACTTTTCTCTAATTTAACCATCTTCGTATCTCTTATGGTTTCCGAGATCCCCATGATAGACATTCTTATCTTGGACACAGTGTATATGCCATCATCAGGCTCACGAAAACAAGAAAATATCACCTACAAGGAAATTGGGGATGGAATGACTGAAAATACTCAAAAAATCATACAATCAACAATTGTTGGAGTTATCATACTTCATTATGTGGGGCGGGATAACTAATACGAAAAATATTTTCGGGCCTTACGAACAAGTCGCTTTTCCAGCTTTCTCCCAAAAGCTTCCATTTTGGAAAAAAACATAGACCAAGTGAATGGGGAGACATCTGTGGGGATTATGCATAAGACCACCCAGCAAACATGATTTTTGCGGCCCTCTGAAGGTACAATGAAACTTGCCGGCGAGCGGTAACAGCGGTCCTCTATTGTACAACTAAATTGGGCCGGCTAGCCCGTGTCCCGGCGGCCGACAGCCGACCGCCTCACTAGAGCCATCAGTATGCCGCTTATTACGTTGCAGGGCTTCTGGTGGGCAGAAGCAAGTACTCAAATGTACTGCATTCATGGCATATCTTCGGCCCGATTGAGACTTTTCAGAGACTGCCATTAATTGGCCGCTTGAGTATTTTCATTCCCCCGATAGAGGAGTTTTTCAGGGCCGTTGGTTAACGGGGTTGAATGAATTCAATATTCATAGTATTCTGTTTTTTGATGTCCCATTTTTCAACTAGGTTTGTCAAAGATTATACAGGGTAATGCACATATCTCAGTGAAAATATGTTTTTTGATAGGTATTCCAGTTTATATCATCACTTGGAAAGCAACGTATCTCATTTTCACTCAGATTTGCATCACTCTCTTTATTTTCAAACTGGTTAAAAAATGTGGAACTTCAAAAAACAGAATTGAGGTCTCCGAGTTTTTTGTGAATCCTCTGGGTAAAACAGAAATGTGGAATTCACTCCTTACCTGAAGTTGTTGAATAATTACATGAAAATCTCTGAGATGGCATTCTGATATCACAGTTATTTCCAGGAAACTAGCAGTATAAATACCCCATACAAAAACAAGAACTGAAAATATCCATGTGTGTATATTATTGCCATGATCACAACCAATACATATCACAACTATGGAAACATCAAACATCTTAACTCTAGTTCTACGTATCACTCTGGTTACTCATTGTTTCAAAAAGTTGCTAACTCTAGGTCAAAAATTACATCACCTATGTACCTACCGAATAACTTGAAAGTTATGTAGGTAATCAGTTATTATATTGATCAAGTTATTGTCAACAATGGAGTTCAATCTACAAGAAAACAATGTCCAGATATGGAGAACCTTACTCTTCATCATATTGATATGATTGTTGCCTGGAAGTGAGATATCATATACCATGAAGAAATTCATATCATATAGTCTGGATCATTGTGTGATTTCTTCATTAATATCTGTGATTGATGGGCTTCTGGTTGTTGATTTTGTAGCTGAAAGATTGAATGATTTCATTCTCTACTAATCCAAAACATGCAACCTTATACATACCTACAGTATGGAAATATAACTGTTTCTTCAAGTAGCTATCTTTGATTTTCATTTCGATTCATATGTAATGAAAGCTCATGCATCTTCAAAGTCCTCAATTATCATATTCTTGTGTCCCCGCTGAACACGTCCAAACTATTATTGCATCTGTTTGTCCAATGGTGTTTGTTAAATCATTATCTAAAATGGAATTATTCAGCTGTGCAAGTTTGTATATATGTTTGTTCCTCACTCACTCTGTATTCATTTCAATTCCCTTCTATTTTGTATAAAAATCCACAAGAAAACCAAACACGAACTGAACCATAACTGAACACAGTACTAAAATCTCTTTTGAGAGTGTGTGACAACATAAACAAAGAAATCAATATACGCCATACTGAATCATTGTTACCACTGCAAAATGATCAAAATAAAAACTCACGCGAGCGAGGGATGCCAACGTTGAGTGAGTGATGATGGCACACTCCGTTGAAATTTTGATGGCCCTTTGACTTGGATACATACAGCGGAAAACTAGCGACTGGGAAACAGAGGCCTATCATAAGTATGTGTACATTCTGCCTTCGTCACATAATCCTTCGAAATTATTTGGAGGGCCTTTCGAGGCATGCCGACATCGACATTTGCCCGCCGTTCTCGCCATGGGCCCGGCTTTCTACCGCCTTTCGATGTTTGCTGGGCAAGCACAAAGATAGAAAACCAACTGATATGAAACACAAAGATTTCTGCGGAAAAGTTAAGAAAACGCAACACCAGGTGAAGTCCATAGGAATCAGCTCAGATGATGAAACCATAGATGAAAACAAAAATTCATATCGGAACACTGAACTTGAGAGTGTATTTATTATAACTTCTCATGTTTTTGAAATAATTCTGGAATTTCGATGACAAATCTCATGAGTCAATGAAGACAAACTAATGAGTTCAAAAATGGAAATTCATCGAAGTGGATAGGGATATAGTAATATTGGGGTTGATTTCGAAAATTTACAAAATGTTCAGTTTTGTACCCTCTGGGTCATTTTATGCATCACATATTATGATGCCAAATGAAACTTAGTACGTACGCGGCACGTTTCAAGCGACTCCTCACTCATCATCAAAATTGATTGATTCGCTAAAAAATTTGAAGATTCCATAACAGCATTTCGAGTAATAATGCTGCTTGTTGCGACCTATCATATTATTTCTCACTGTACTCACCTCAAGTTTCAAAGATGCAGATGAAAATTCCACTGCTATAAAGAATATAATTATATACACACTTGACTTGTACATATTTGAATATATATGATTTTATCCTATTATAATGAATCGAAGGACTATACTGAATTGAATGGTTTTCGTAGTTATATACACAGTGTCGTTTGAAGAGGAATGAATAATCGATATTCTAATACCAGGTACTGGTGCGTTTGCCAGTAAAGGAGCTGTACCAGTTTCCCCGCAATTTTCAAAATTCTAAGTCATTTTTCCCTAGATTCTACGGAAATTACGAGATGCATGGAGGGAAGCCCCATAAGAGCCCATGTAAAGCGAAGCATATTTTTCCCCAGATCTACGGACTTTTTTCGTGAATTTTAAGCTCAAAAATAGCAAAAACGGTTCCTTTCAAGGTCATCCGTCTCTGACGAGCTGGCTACCCGCTAGTCACCCCTCCGCCCAACCACGTGACTCGGCTAGCCAATCACAGACCGGCTTGACTCGGCTAGCTACTCGCGGCCCCCACGAACGGCGCGAAATTCAAATCTTGGATGGAAATATAATGAATAGAAAAAAATGGGCTGTGCGGGCAAGGAATCACTAGATGAATTTGTGAACGAGTTTGGAGTTTGGTAAGCGGCAAGATGGCCGGCGATGCTGAAGAGAGCTCCGTAATCCGCATTTCGTCGTTTTGGTAATGGCGTATCGACATATGACGTACGACGATGAGCTGGCTACCCGCTAGTTGATGATAAGATTGACAATGACACATCCACAATAACAAAATGAATGGTAATATACACTGCGTGAACCCAAAAAGATACATTCTCCACCTAGACGTTCAATAATGGAGGTATACAGGGAGGGTGAGATGAATAGTGACAAAAAAAAAAAACACTGGAGACTCATGAGTAGCCCCCTCCGAATTAGATAACTAACGTATGACGTATGACAGATGACATTTGACAGATGACATTCGACAGATGACGTGTGCGAGATGGCGTATGGCGTGGAAGGATATAATAATGAGGAAATATTATCGAACACCTCTCAACCATAACTCTATGGGTAGCGTATACCACGTGACCTTACGGTGCTCATCACGCCCAGTCAGCGCATCCTTTCATCATCCTATCAAAAATCGTTTCACGTTCAGGTTCAACTGCAAGTCCATCAGACACCACGACCCCATTTTCATTATTAACCATAAAATAAGTCGAACAACTCATATATCAAGTAACCTTACGGTGCTCATCACACTCAGACAGCACATATCCTTTCATTATCAGCCATGGAATATGTCAGACAACATTTTAACAAAAACTCGTTTTACGTTCATGTTGAACTGACATTTGACAAACGATAACGCACCCTGCTTTAGTTATCAAATAAATAAGTATATGTCGAACGATGCTCTACCAAAACTTGTAATGTATAGGTTAGGAGTGCTAGTGACTATATTAATCATTCCAGAATAACGTTATTTAACAACTGCTGAGGGGCAAACATTGTATTCTGTCCAGATTTGTCATATGAAACCAGAATTTAGTGGGATCGTTTTCCTTGGAATATGAGTTGGAACCAGAAAGAATTTCATAATTTCGTTTTGGTGAAACTGTTATATTATATTGTGCTATGCTCATCGGAGGTGACCTAACAAATAGTTTACGTGCCCCTCAAGAAACCATATAAAAAATCACGGGTTCTGGAATGATCAATAGGTCGCGTGCACGAAATGTCAGATGACCGACCCTGGAGGTCTAACAATCTCACTACTTAGTTTTTTATTTGTCGATAGGATTGAGATATTTTTTCACAATCATTTCAGCATATGAATCGTGTTTCTTGGGATATTTATTTGCCCGCGACCCATGGATGCCAGCGTTTTTTAGGTGTGATACTTTGTTGAATAACCTGATGAAAGCTGTTTGATAATAACCTAAACTATCAATGAATCTCCTCAATCAGTTGCGAAAATAATGTGAATCAATAAAAGATATGTATATAAGACCAAAACATTCATGAGTGATGATCACGGATCATTTTAAATAACAGTTGTTTTGATGTTATGTCGTTTTGATGTTTTGTCGTTTTAATGTTTTGTCGTTTTGATGTTTTGTCGTTTTGATGTTTTATCGTTTTGTCATTCACTGTTCTTCAACATTTGACAGATGGTGTTTGAAATATGATGTAGGGAGTGGTTACAAAAACAAGGGAATATCATCGAAATAATTTATATTCAATAGTGATTCTTTTCTATAAAAATCACATTTTTCTTGAGAAGGCGGTCGACTTTCATAGTGTGTCTGGCGATCGGAACGAAAGCATGGCAGCTTGATTATCAGGTCAAAATTGAAGAGATATATATCCAAACTATTAATAAGAGCATGGAAATTGTAGCCCATTTCCCCACCACCCAAGGGGGTAGAGCTCTGGCGCGTTGCTTCTTTTTTTAGTGGGAAGCTCCCCGAGAGGCCTACTTTAACCACTTATGGTGATAAATAATTAGGTTAACAATAATGATACATTTTTGTATTTTTTTCCTGACAGCACGAAGATTCATTCCTAAATCAATAGAAACACTTCATTAATTCGTCTGGTGTATGTGTTTTTCAGACGACACGAAGATGCATTCCTGAATTAATAGAAACACTTCATTGATTCGTCTGATGTTTGTTTCATCGAGACAGCACGAAGATTCATTCCTAAATTAATAGAAACACTTCATTAATTCGTCTGATGGTTCTTTTCGTATGTTTTTTTCTCCAGACAGCACGAAGATTCATTCCTAAATTAATAGAAACACTTCATTAATTCGTCTGATAACTTTCATTTTATGGGGTATCTCATTTGATTGCCAACCCAACCATTCATCACACATTCAATGTTAGATTCGATATTGGGTTAGGCCCTTAACTATCGATCTCCATAGCTTCATCTTTGATAGAATAGTGCCCCCAAGGAAGAGTTTCATATGATCCTGAAACAATATACCTCTTGTCATCTTGAGAGCTGAGAGCAATTTTTTCTTGCAAGATGGAATGAACCTGATGCTTTTCCGCTCTGATAAAATTTTGTGAAACGGTTTCCTGCTCATGTGTTTCCAGACATTTCACATAATCCTCGAAAGTGATGGCTGTTTTGACGACGGATGATTTCACACCTTTCGCTTTCTTAATAACACCCATATTCAATATGATATTGCAGATTTCGTCATCATCATAATCTTCCTCTTGTAACTCTATCTTCTTCCTCATTATATCATCTCTAGTTACCAGCACCTTTGTGGAGTATAATTTAGATCGTAGGCCTACATAATCTGTCATTATGACAGAACTATTCTCATCTTTCATCATTCCTAGAACTTTCTTGTTAACCTGTGGAATTCCATGAATGTTATCACTAGGATAGTCGGAAGTATCGAAGTGGGTGTAACAATCTCGCTTCATAACTTCATACGGATCTAGATTTCTAATCTCATAGATGAGTGAGTCTGTGTCGGTGTAACAGATGGTACATTGATCACCAAACTCTCCATACATGTATTCATAGTGAAAGCCATATAAAGTTGTCTTCGCAAGATCTAGAATGGCTTGACCAACGTATATGGGCTTGTTTAACCAGATTTCCAATTTCTTGAGTTCGACTGCAACCAAGTTCTCGTTGAAAATTGTGCAGTTCTTGAACTCAGGTTTCGAAATATAAGCCTCAGCACCATATCTCCCAGCCCACTCTGTCAAAAGTCGAACGTTCACCCGCTTCCTGATATTTTCCATCGTTTTCCCGAAAACAGCATTGTTCATAAGCTTGAACAGATTCTTTTCAAATATATTCTTAGCTTGTTGACGGAGGTTAGTGTTGAGGTCAATATATGATTTGAGCCATGTGGATTGTTGGAACCTGAGCACTCGATGGATCTTTTTCAACACTAATCCATGAGCTAATGCTTGTTTGAGAGTTCGGTAATGTATAACATAGTTTGTTTTATGATTCAACGTAGCCATCAACTTGGTGGGTTGAGAAGATCTTGTCGGAGGTTCCATAGTTTTTGGATTAATATGTTCGGGGCAGAAAGGTAGGTCTTTGTGAGTATCATGAAGCTTATGGGGATATTCCAAGTCAACTTCTGAAAAGTATCCTTCTAGCGCATCATCAGCAATAGCTGTTACATCAAGATTAGTGTCGACCCATTCAAATCCTCCATACGGTAATGCTTGGGACATAGCCCACCCATATTGATTATTAACATCATAATACATCAGATATGAATCGGGCTTCGTAGAATCATAGGTGGGCATATATCTATTATTAGCATGAGCTCTTCTCTTCGAACAAATTTGACTGAGGCCTCCTCGAATTCCTCTTTCAACAAACAAGAACATATCCACATCAGTGAGAAGCTCCAACTTCTGATTCGTATATTTCAACATAGCATCCCAAGTGAATCCTGGTAAGGTATAATAGTGAGCAGGATCAAGATTATAAGTTCTGAGACAGCTGGCACGAAACTGCTCGAAAACATCAACCAAAAGCATGATGTCTGTCTTCATGTAGAGGTCAACATACTGACCCAAGTCTTGACAATTGAACTTCGACCACACAAGCTTGGCTCTCAGATAATGTCTGCGTGGACAAGGTTTATCATCCAGTTTGTTGTAGAAGGACTCAATAGGGGGCAGTCGGGTTTCGCTGAAGCGCTCAAATGAATCTGTATAGTCGTATGGCATGACACCCTTCTTAGTCAATAATCGAAAATGTTCTTCTGGAAGGTCACAAAATTGTGATTTCAGATTCGGAAATTCGGTTAAATATGATACCAGCTTATCCAGAGAAGAGTTCATGAAGCGAAACGAATCAATGAATCGGAAGCTTATGCGTGAATCTTCGTTGTGTTTGGTGAAAGAGATGTATTTTTCTTTGGTGATTGGTAACAGATCGACTTGACCATGCATTTTAGATGCTATATCCTCGATAATGAAATTTGCATCATAACCACTCAGATTGTGGAACACAACAGGTATCACATGGCTATCCTGGTACCGAACGTTGCAGCTTTCATGGGCTGGACCTCTGTA